GAATCCGGGGCAGCACGGTGGAAAGCGTGGATAGGGTAGAAGCCCCTGGCAAGAAGACCAGAACGACTCCCTTAAGCTCAACTCTCTCTCAACCCAACACCCCAGGCCTTCAGTGGCTGACACGGAAGTTGTAGCGTACTGCTACCTTTAAAAGCTCCTGCAAACTTGATTGCAAAACATCACATTGTTCTGTTTTGCCGTTTACAGAAGTCAGAATAAGGAACCTTCACGGCTCTCCTCAAACCTGCAGACACCTGTCATCTTTTACCTGTTGTAGTTTCACAGGTCCCCCTCCCTTTTCTTGTGAAGACCAGCCAGTGTCATAGAGAACACTAAGTCCCCTCTCAGGCCGAAAAAATTTACTTGTAAGCGGCGCGTGTGGGCACACACACACACACACACACACACAGAGAGAGAGAGAGAGAGAGAGAGAGAGAGAGAGAGAGAGAGAGAGAGAAGCTAAAACAACAACCCACAACCACCATTACCAAAGGGAGTCTTCCAAACCCTGACAGACAGAGCTGGACGGGAGGTCCCCTCTATACTGTGACATTCAGTCCCTAGAGTAATGGCCTCTTTGAATTCCCCGCAGTCCTAAAGCTTACCATCTGCCTGGCCTGGGCACATTACAGTAGCCAAATCCACTACTGGTATGCAAGTATGAGAGGAGGAGACACAGGCTGACCAACAAGTCCACCTTTGGATCTTTCTGGTGCTTGACACCCCCCCAACACACACACTCCCCACTGTCATTTTTCAGACCTCACTAAGCCCAGTTGCTGACAAGCCAACCCGGGCACAGCAAATGCTGGGAGGTAGGTGCCCAAATAACATTCCCCATTTGTCTTTTTCAAAGTTGATTTATAGCGATCGACAGGTTAAAGGCTCATCTGACTTCATTATTTTTAAAAGCTGTCTATTTCACAACTGTCCCCTTTCATCACTTAAGCACAAATAAATACTTGAAGAAATGAATTGGAAGAGACTTTCCGATCATGCTTATAATTCTTGGTTGCCAGTTAACATTCCTAATGGCCTGACCCTCTGAGCTTCTGTAGACTCCTAAACTTGGTTTCAACATCCCACCATTTCTACTTTAAAAACTTCAAGGGAAACGGGTGAGATGGGGGGGGGGGATTAGCCGGAGCATAGCTAGGCTACAAGCACGCAACTGGGTAAGCAGAGAGCAAAGTTTCCCCGGCAGCCTGAAGGCTGCAGTACGGGAAGGGCAGGGGAGAAGGGATGCCTCGTGAGTCAGGGGACCCAGTAGAACCAGAAGCTAGAAAGAGGGCCTCAGACCAAGAGAACAAATTCTGCACATGCGTTGGTCCTGTTGCAAAATGACGGCGACGCTCCCATAGTACAGAACTGTTTGCCCAGAAAGATTACGGCCACTATTATTTCCAGCATAGTTTCCAAAAGGGTCTAGGAGACTACGGGACATTTTCTCTCCCTCATCTTGAACTTGGAGCTTATGAGCCTGAGCCCCCGGGAAATGCAAAGGCGACGTGGAAACAAAACGGCGTGGATTGAAATCCATGCAATAAACCGAAATTGTTTCTTCAATTTTACTGTTATTTATTCGGCATTCAGACTCACTCTCTCTCTCTCTCTCTCTCTCTCTCTCTCTCTCTCTCTCTCTCTCTTTCCTTCCCTCCCTTCCTCCTTCCCTCCTTCCCTCCCTCACCAATGAGGGTGCAAAAATAACGAAAGCAGAAAAAAAGAAAATACACAAAACTAAAACAAAACAAAAAGGAGCAAGAGAGAAGGGAAGAAAATGGCAATAAAGAGAAAAAGGGAAACCAGAAGGAAAAAAAAAGACCTAGTTTGGGAGACAAAACGGGTGCATCAGATTCCCCCCCCCCCCCCCTTTATTCTTATTCCTCCTCCTCCTGCTCTTTCTTCAACTTCTTCTTTTGACTGGGGTTGGGGCTGAGGCCAAAGAATTAACTAAAGCAGGATATGTGAAACCTCTGTGAGTTTTAGGCAGCCAGCCTCAGTTGGGAAGGGTGACAGGGCAGGACCGGGCCGAGCTCCGTCTGCAGCATCTCTGACCCACTAGAGCCCACCAAGAGTTAGAACTTTGCTGATTCCAGCGAAGACCCAACGCTGAGCAAGCCCTGGCGGGGTTGGCCACACTGTTGCCACCACCTTGTCGCAAGTAGTGAGCTCGGGTCTTTTTTTTTTTTTTTCTTTTTTTTTTTCTTCTTCTTTTTTTTTTTTTACCCTTGTAGGCCACTAGGCCTAGAAAGGTCTGAGGACCCTTGGACTCTGCATCGAAGGTTAAGGAACTCTGCGTTTACAGCGCTCGGGGACTGAGGCTTTCCAGAGCGAAGGCTGCGCTGCTCGGCTGCGGAAACCAGGGCGCTGTGCAGTGCCCTGGAGCGCCACCTCGCTTCGGAAACTGGAATAACGCGGCTAAGCCTTCCACTCTTCCCGCAACCTAACTTGATCTTCACCCGTTCTATTTCCTTTATTAACATCTCCAAAGAAGCCTAAATGCCTAGGCCTCCTTCCCCACTGGCAAAAATAAATAATAAAAAAAAAATCATCCGTGACCCACATAGCTCAAAGTAACTGCACAATGGAAGAAAACTACAGAAGCACAATTTCACTAAACAAGGGTAGTCACCTAAGCTGTAAAACTGCTTTCCGAGGAAAGAGAAAATGAATTAGACACGTTGTCAGGAGGCCACCAGTTCGGGCTGCGCTGTGTTTTGAGTCATTCGGCTGTGGCCAATGCAAATGTCTCCCACGAAGCGGGTGCCTATGAAGTTAGAACCTCCCAGTTACGATTTTCACAGAAATCCATTCATTGTGACCCGTGGAGTATCAGAGAAAGAGAGAGAGAGAGAGAGAGAGAGAGAGAGAGAGNAAGCCTGGCTCCTCAGCCTTACAAAAATAAATAAATAAATAAATAAATAAATAAATAAATAAATAAATAAATAAATAAATAAATAAATAAACAAACGAGGGGGGGAGCCTCTAAATGCAATCCTCAACGTGTCCACCTTTCAACCAACGAAAGCAGCAGCTGCCAGAAATTATGAGTTACAAAACATTGCTCCTCCAACGTGCAACTTGCTATTTGCCTCCTTTTCAACCAGTTGGTCAATTAAGATCTTTATCCGCCCTTAAAGAGATCCACTGGACTAGACTATAAAATATATAAAAAATAAATAAACTCACTGATACACTATGGTCAGTCTTTGTTTCATTTTTCTTCCCACGCCAGAGCCAAGTGCGATAAGAAACAACCTATTTTCCACTTTGAACATAGTTTTGAATGTGGAGCATCTTGCTTATGGCCCAGTGAAGAGCTGTGTGGTTTGTTTCATTTTTTTTTTGAAAAGGACATGGAAGTTCCATTTAATGTAGTTTTTACTTATTTGTTTAACCCCTCTCTGTCTCTCTCCCTTCCTTTCTCTCTCTCTCTCTCTCTCTCTCTCTCTCTCTCTCTCTATCTCTCTCTCTCTCTCTGTCACTCTCTCACACACTCTGTGTTTTCAGGACATTCAGTAGATTAACTGGGTAAAATGATGGCTACCCTGGGGACAGTGGACAGAGGAAGAGGATGAGGAAAAAGAAGGTGGTGGCATCTATGCCCCTGTATTTTTCTGCTTGAACAAAGCAAACTTAGAGACCCTTTTAGGAAACTTTGGAGTTGGTAGGGAGGTCCCTGGGCAGTCAGGCAGGAGATGGAGAGAGCGCTGTGCCTCTCTGCTCCACAGGACAGATTAGAAGGCTCTCAGGGTTCCCACTCAGAAATTATAGGGCTGAGCCAGGAAAATAGCCAGTTTAGTTTTCTGGCCGGCTTGTCCCTTTTTCACTAGGTTAGGACAGGTTCCTGAGAGACAGTGCTAGAGAGAGAGGTCTCAGATTCCTAGCAGGACTTAAGGAGCAGTCCCTCAAGTGGCCAGCTGTAGAGGGGTGGCCAGGTTCTTGGGAGTTCCAGCCTCTGAGGTGAGAATGCCAAATCGTGAAGAAGATGGCTGCTGACAGATTCTGGGAGCGAAGTGACAACTCCAGAGAGGACCCTAGCTTCCACTGAGGGGTGGCAGTAAGGAGCAGAGACCAAACAGAAGGAAGTCACGGAGCAGACCGCACTTCAAGCTTCAGGCCTTCGGTTTGCAGGAGGTTCTAAACTGGAAGACTTTTCTCCCTCTTTCCATTTCTTTCTCTTCCACCCTATTCATATTTTCTAAGATTTCTCCCCCCCTCCCCACCCCGCCACACACACAGAATAGAGCCTGAGGATGAAAAATTACTTTCTTGCTATTACCCTTCCTACCACAAGATGCGGTGCAAGAGTTAGTGTTACAACTATGGCACAATGTTTCACCGACGCAAAACATGCAGCCAGAGGGGGTTGCTAATGACTCCTGGACTAGAGCGAGCCAGCGACTGGGAGAAGGGGTGGGGAGAGCCAGAACTACGCAGGAGAGGGACATTTTTCATTAAAACCCCGGGGTAAGGGCGAATCAGGACTAAAAATCCCATCCGTATTTCCAATTTCAAGGCTCTTTCTGCTTAAACGTGTGAGCTAGAGAGAATCCAGCATCCCTTTAAGCACCACTTTTTGCCATATTAATAACAATTATGTTTACAGTTACGTGGCGTGAAGAGCTCTCCTTTGGGAAGGATCAAACACTAGAAATCGCTTAATACTAGATTCAAAGCTACTCCGATACGCAGGCCCTTTGAAGGCTGTGGGGGCCTGGCCATCGTTAACCGAGGGGTCTATGCAACACAGGGCGGCCAAAGAAACTCAAGCCTCGCTCCCCTATTAGGGCACACAAATGGACAAACGCTTGTGATGAAATGGTGGGAACCAGAATGACCCAACCAGGCTATGGAGCAGCCTGCAGGTGCAGCGGCCAGCGGTGGCCTGCCTGGCCTGTGCTAGATCTTGACAAAATGTCCCCGCCGGCCTCGGAACTCCCCTGTGCCCTCCCTTGGGACCAGCTATTTGGGGGTGCATGAGGTTTCGAGGTTCCTACCGTGGCCCAGGCTGGTCCCACCGCCCTGCAGTCTGCTTCTGCACCCCAGGGCACACGAGGAGGGCATCCCCTTGGGCTGCGGCCCTTTGAACCAGGGAGCCCTTGGCTCCCTCCCGGACCCGGACGCGCGGAGCTCGCTGGAGGCCCGGCAGCGGAGCGGAGTGTGGGTGGCGGGTGGGGTTGAAGGGGAGTGGGGGAGGCGGGAGGGGACAGAGGGGCGGAGGCAGGAGCGGGGCGTTAAGCCTGGAAGCTTGGCTGTTTACCCAAACGATTTTCTTTTCAGGCCGGAGACGCCAATGAGACAAGATCAAACTGCCCTCCAAGCAGTGCGTGTGGGGCGGCGTGAGTGTGTGTGTGTCCCCTTTGCAAGAGGGGCTTTGTGAATGGGGCCTCCAGCACTCTGGCTTGGAGGGATGAGAGGCGACCCGGCCACCAGCGCCTCCTCCCGGGGGCTGGGAAAAGCCTGGTGTGTATCGTGCCTCAGTACAGGGAAGGGCAGCCCGGGCGAGCGGTAGTCCAAAGAGACTGAGCAAAGAACTGCAGAGGCACGCTCTTGAGAGCTAAGGCCTTAAAGATCTAGAGCATCATACAAATTCCATCCTTCTTCCGACCCGTTGATTTTCGATCCGTCTAAAGCCTGCATCCAGCTCTTTGGGCCATTGGTTTGTTTCTTCCTGACTGACTGACTCCAGATCTATTGCCTAAAAATTAGGGCAAGGTTTTAACGATTAAGTTACAAGGCAGGCTGGGAAGCGCACTGCCAGCCCTAAGCCTGGGTTCTTTGCACCACAAAATAAAGATCAATGGGGCAAAGATGGTCTGTATTAACAAAATTTGTGATTTTTTTTTAAAGGAACCTAACCCCAAGAACATTCATTAACTGGGCAAAAAGTATGAGAGAGAGGCAAGAGGGGAGGAGGGGGTGAACTTGGTTAAGTTCGAGCTACAGCGGAGATGGTGACTGTCCTCCTGGATGTAGTTCCTGCAGCTGCCCCAGGAGTTGAAAGGTCGTTTGAAATAATAATGACATTCTACGTGTGACAATAAAAAGAATGGTCAGTCGGGGCTTTTTTGTTTGTTTCTTGAGGTCGAACTATAATTAAAATGTGGCAACATAGACGTTGTGCCTGTATCTTCTATTTCCCGTAGTTTACTCTCCAGTAGGGCCCACTGTAAGCTTACCTAAGGAATCTGGAAGAAAACAACTTCATTCCAATGTTCCTAGGGTCTCGGTCTCTATGACTCCTCAGTGACCCCGTCCTTGTCCCTCCCATTCTTTGCCACTTGTCCTTTGGATAAGGGAGATTGGACTGGGACCTAGGTTCGGGTTCTTCTCACGCAGGCATTCTACAAGAGTGGCATTTCCACTCCCATTGGAGCGGACATTACATTGCCCCATTTCCAAGAGTTCTTATTTACCTAAAACTCTCCTTCCCTGGGGCTGACCCAAGAAGGGCACCTTGGGGACCTGCTGAGACTTGCTGCAGGCTCCTGTGACCTCCACTGTGGTGGCCCAGGTTGGCACCAACATACTGAGAAAGAGCCTATAGACCTCCACCTTCTTGCCAGAACCTCTCCAGTGGAGTTTGCAAGTCTAGGACTGAAGGACCAGGGACACCGAATGTCTCCTCCACTAAGACAGATTAAAGACAGGCCTGAGGACTTGCCTGATTGCTGGCTGGTCTGCCATGGGTGTAGGCCAGTGGTGGTTGCTTACAAAGGAAGGCAGATGTGCCTAATTTGAGAATGATGAACTTTAATGAGAGAGTGGACTACTCTCTCAATGTGCTCATCACTGCCCTCATCCAGGGTGGTTTCTAGACTTGACAACAAATGGGCCCGACCAAGAAAAAAAATCAATAAAAAATAAAAATAAAAAAGCCTTGAAGCAAGGCAGCCAGAAAGGCAAAGCTACTTGGCTAAGGGGGGGGGGGGAGTCAAGGTTCCTGGGCTCAACACAGTGCCCATCAGAGGGTAGCGGAGTGCTGTTGAGCCATCCAAGAAGATCCAGACCCAAGAGATGTCCATCTGGAACCCCAATTCCTTACTGACAATTGTGGCTCCTGGGCCTCCAGGCCTCCGATCTGGGAGTTGGAAAGAAGAGCTGTATTCTTGTTTCTTCACACTGGAATCCTAAGAGGAAAGACTGGTGATGGCTGTGGTGTTCATGTGTGGGAAGGTGGCAACCACTAATCACCCAAAGGCCAGGTCCACATCCTGGGTTCCTACCACTGCGTTGCTCCAAGCTAGTAGATAAGCTTACTTTGAGTGTCAGGGGGCACTTGACTGAGTACCAGGACCCTCCAGAGCGGGGCCTCCTAGTCGGTGCCCAAGCGAGGACCCAGAAACAAGGGGTTAGGACAAGACACAGGGCATTGTCCGGACTGCCCCTGGCAACACAGTTCTTTCCAGGCCCCCTCCTGCTGGGCTTCTCTAGCCTCCAGCCACAGGAGATGGGGAGAGTTTTCCTTTACTCCCCCTCTGTTTCTCCCATCCCCCCCCCCCACTAAAGCTGAGGGCCGAGACTGGCTGGTAACCAGGGGCCGGTGGCTTGCCCCCTGAGTGTGAGTGCGGAAAACACCAGGCGCTGCGCTGTCTGCAGACAAAAGACCCGAGATGGCTGGCTCCAGCAGGCCCAGACACTGTGTCGTTCGCACCCGCCTCCACCTTTGCCTAGGCAGCAGGCGCAGGTGAAAGCAGGGGCGCTAAGGAGCAGAGAACTTTTATTGATTCCCTAAATTGAACACCTCCGAGTCCGCGGGCATAGGCAGGGCCAGGCATCTGTTTCAGAAAAAAAAATAAAATAAAATAAAATCTGCCCCCGGCACCCAGCCATCCATCCTCCCATAAAGGGCTGCTCCTTGCTGGTTTTTTCCCCCTACGTGTCTCATAGCAAGTCACCTGGCAGCTAGGAAAAGCTATCCTCCTCCCACATCGACCTGCAGGCGTTACTCCCCCCCCCCAAAAAAAAGGCTCTTGTCTTCTCTTCCTCTACAAGCCCCAGGGAGAATTCACTGGCTTAGGCATTAAGGAGTTGGGGAAAAAATCTTTACATTCTCCCTAGGTGTAAGATGCTGTAAGAATTGGGAAAGGCTGCTGGCGCTCCACACCTCTCTCTCTCCCTCCCTGCTGCACCTGGAAAGCCAGCTCTGAGAAGAAGAAATAGTCTTTTCCTGCAGTCTGTCATTCTGCTCCCACAAATAACCGGTGTGAGAAATACCCCAGGCTTGAGAATATTGATAGATGATAGTAGCGATATTCACAATCGATCCTTTAATAGGCAGACGTCATAAATCATGTTCAAAGCCCTGACAGAATGGTACTTCACTTAATAATATAATTAAGATTAAAACTCCAGAGGTATTGAGACAGCAGCTATTGATAACTGCAACAAAAAAATGCATTCTGGATACTACAGTGGTACGCAATAGGATTTGGGGAAAATACAATCTCCTTTCAAAAGCTGGAGTTTTACCAGGGTTCCCATCTTTGAGCTCCTTTGGCCTTGATTTCCAGCCCCACCCCCAACCCCTCTTTACCAGTCATATTGTCTAAGGACAGCTCTTTCAAAGTTGCTTTGTTTTCTAGCCTTCAATATGAAGTTTTCAAAATTATCACGAGACCTAAGAAACGTATGTTTGTTTGTTTGTTTCAACACACTTAAATCCCTCAGTAAAGTTTTCCAAATCGCACATACAGGATAGCACATACATATACATCAGGCAGCTCCAGCCCTGCACCCTAGCCTCTGCCCTTTGCAGACGGCTCCACAGTCCAAACCATGGGCCTCAGCATAGGTAACAAGGTCCTGAAAAGGATCGTGAAGTGGCAGGCTCCTATCCCAGGGTGATAGTCTGCCATCTGCATCGCGTGGCTAGAGTTGATAGGAAGTGCAGCTTGAGTCGAGTCTAAAGAGTGGAATATTAATCAGATCAATGGAAGCTGACAAATGAGAAATATCTGATAGTTAGTAGCAATTTGCAACTTTGTTATTAGTTAAGAATCACCTGCCTTGTAAGAGTAATTCATAATGCAGAGAGGAGCCCTTTGGAAATCCCCCTCCTATTCTTCTCATTTCCCTCGGCTCTTAAGGAAGAAAAGGGAAAGAAAGAAAAAATGAGTGATCAGCAGAAGCAGGAAAACAAACCAAACAAGCAAACAAACAAACAAAAAAAATGGCTGCATTTGTGGGGAGAACAGAACTGGGGAATATAAAAAGGGGGGATTTATTCCCTGGGAAACTATCAGGAAAGAAAATATCAAGGGAGGGCTGATAAATGGGAAAATAAATTCTGTAACCATACACCACGAACTGGCTAAAGGTTGAGTTTCAAATGACCCAGAAATGCCATCAAAACGGACAGTGCCGCTACAGTGTAACTTCACAGCCTAACTCAGCCCTGAATTCCAGGCAGAGCTCAAGGCATTGTCTGTGCTGTTGTCCTTAACAATGTATTTCTTTACAGCCCAGGAGCAGACAGACGTGTGCAGGCTCTTTCCCAAATTCCATCCCTGGAGACCCAAGCCGCTTTTATGTGCCTAGCATCAGCTCTCTTCTAGGTCCTAGACAATCCTCCCTGACCCCAACACACACACACACACACACACACACACACACACACACACACACTCATTTTACATTGATTATTGGATGGTTTCAGCCTCACCAAAACCACATTCCAAAATAAAGACTTGTTGAAAAACTGTAAATCTTTTCAGCACTGTAGTTTGAGAAACCATTTCAATCAACAGACTGGCTGTAAAAAAATAAATAACTAAGAAATCAAGAAATCTCCAGCTTTCTGCCCACAGAAGGAGAAACTGCTGTTTTGTTGAATATTTTATTTGTTAAGTGGACTAATTTTTTTTTCAGATTTGGGTTTGTTTTTGTTTGTTTCTGGCTTAGTTTGTTTAGACAAGAGGAAAGAAAAATAATCTCAACTTTAGAAAACTTTTTCTGGTCATGATTATAAACTCTGGTTTTGCCTCACTAAGTCCAGGCTGGATCGACAAAAGGTAGCTAGAAATTGAGGTTTATTGGCCTCTAAACGAAAAGATTCATTTGATAGAAGAGGTTAACTCTGAGTTCCTTCGCTGTGACTGGGTTCGGCAAATGCTTCAGAGGCGTGAGCATCGAAGCAGCTCAGAGAAGCTTTCAAAG